AATGTGGAGAATCTGGAATTCACATACATTGCAGGTAGCAGTGTAAAAACCACTAAAATATAATGTTGTACATAAATTATACTTCAATAACTTATGCATGTTATGCATTTACTAAGTCAACTATCAAAATAGAAAAAGTAATTTTCTTTTTTCTTTTTTTTTTAATATATATTTTATTGATTTTTTACAGAGAGGAAGGGAGAGGGATAGAGAGTTAGAAACATCGATGAGAGAGAAACATCGACTAGCTGCCTCCTGCACACCCCCTACTGAGGATGTGCCCGCAACCTAGGTACATGCCCTTGACCGGAATCGAACCTGGGACCTTTCAGTCCGCAGGCCGATGCTCTATCCACTGAGCCAAACCGGTTAGGGCAATCCCTGGATCTTCATAGCCCTAAGGATGTGCACTATGGATCATAATTGTCATTGTGTTTATTGTGTGTGCCTCATGTACAATATTTCTTTTAAGTACCTAGGACAATCACAACCCCTAGAGTGTTTCTGTCAGATATCTGCCCTCCAGCTCTCCCTGTAGAACCTTTGGGAGGGACAGAACAAATATGACCATTTGCTATATGGGAAGTCACTCCTGCCTGTCACAGGTATCACGGAAGGCTAAACTTATCCCGACCATGCTTACCTATGAATTCCAAGGGCATCCCTGGAGCTAAATAATCCTGAATCTAGTATCAGACTTGATTTTGACAATAAGAGGACATTTCACATTTTTGCCTCTAAAAGTATCAAACAATCCATTCCTTTGTGAAGCAGAATATATTCCTGTTTTTTTAGGCAATGTTAGCCCTCCCACATTTGAAGCTTAAAAACTACTCTTCTGCAGAAAGAAGTGAATGCAATGATGTAATATTTCAAGGCAAAATTTTGTAGGGAAGCAGCTGGGATTAGACCAAGGCAGCAGGAAGCTGCAGGAAGCTACAGAGGATGGTCCTCCATAAATTCCAGCTAAGGAAAACAAGTTCCAGAAGCTTCTTGGGTCGACCTTTCTGATGCTGCTATTATCACCCCAGACTTCCAGTTTCCTCAGCAAAGGTATGGGCAGATAGGCAATTTCATTGTTGATGGAGTAAGGGGGGAGGAGGGGAGCAGTAGGTATAGGAGTACCGTTTCCTCCAGGGGAATTGGGCCCATAAATGTCACCCAGGGTCCCGCTGAAGCAGAGAGAATCAAATAATTTGGAGAAACAAGGAAACCCAACCAAAACCATGAAAAAACAAAAACAAAAATCCATCAAGTACCTTGCTTCACATCGGAACACACAAACACTTTGACCTCAGAGGGAGCAGGGTAAGCCACCCACACTGCACTGCGGTCAGCCATTCCCGTGATGGCTCTGGCTCCTTCTCTCCAGCCTCTGGGTGCCTGAGCCAAGTTTTCAAGCACATCCTGGGAGTCAAGACCTGTTTGCTCTGTGGTCATTTAGTGCTCAGATCACTCCTTTCCCAGAAAACTGTTTTCTATGGAGCCACACATACACAAAAAAGGGGGGAGGGCAGGTTTCTTCTAAATAAATTTTGTAATCAAGGTTTGCAGGGACCTTGAAATACTCAAGTTTCTTTTATTAGCTTATCACATGGCATTATAAGGAAGTTTGGGTGCATTTCCGTAATGTTTTCTTCCGTTTTCATTCCCAGGGCCAATCCAGGCCCACGGGTTCAGGGTGTTCTCTTCTTCCATTCTTTGTTTTAGAGCCCTATCCACCCCCACCCCACTCCCAAAGCCCTTTGATTGTACACCATGCTTACACTTACCAGAAGTTGAGCTGGATGTTGCTCCGAGAAGCTGTCCAGTTGCCTTCTCCACAGTAGATGAATAAAGGACCTTTGCATCCTGATTTACTCTCTGAAATACCCTCATGCCATCTAATCCCACCTTCATCGGATTAGAGCCCCAGCCCAGATGCAAAGAAATGGGGTGAGACGGGGAGAGGCTTAGGAGTTCTCTGGTCATTGGCTACTCTTACAAAACTGACTTGGACTCTCTCTCAGCAATAAATAGGTATCAAGTTCACAAACACACACACAGTGTTACATCCAAGAGTGGATTTGCAATTTATGATTCAATATCTTTTGGCCTTCTCCAGTCCCACCTTTAGTCCTTGCTCCTCTCCATGCCTTCCCTTTCCTGACACACACTCACCCATGTACAAGGTGGGGCAAAAGTAGGTTTATGCTGGTTCGTATGGAAAATAGTACAATAATTAATAAATAATAAAAGAGTAAACTCGTCCTAACTGGTTTGGCTCAGTGGATGGAGCGTCGGCCTGCGGACTGAAGGGTCCCAGGTTCGATTCCCGTCAAGGGCATGTACCTGGGTTGTGGGCACATCCCCAGTGGGAGGTGTGCAGGAGGCAGCTGATCGATGTTTCTCTCTCATTGATGTTTCTAACTCTCTCTCTTTCTCCCTTCCTCTCTGTAAAAAATCAATAAAATATATTTTTTTAAAAAAAAGAATAAACTCTATGTTCTGCATAATACTTTTGCCCCACCTTGTATATAATATCTCTCTCTCTCTCTCACACACACACACACCATGACATAATTTTATGAGACTTTATTGAAAAGAAGAGAGTGAACCACAGTGCCCCCTACTGTAGTAGAGACACTGAACATGTGAGCAGTGACACTGAGAAATATACAGTATCTTTTCCTAATTGGTATTGTATGCATTTCCTCAGAGAGCCGGGACCACCAAGCAGAAATGACATAAAACTCAGTAATACTTGACAGAGAAAGAGCCCAAGTGATAGCTGGGAACTCGTCACTGTTGACACATATTGGAGAATTGATTGCTGCATCTTCATACCCAAAGGCTTCAGAGTGTGAGGCTCAGGTTATAATCCAGGTCAGTGGAACCCTGGCTTCAGTCCTTCAATTGCATTAAGCCACTAATATTAATTTGTACATCACTTTATGTAGTTTTTAAAGGGACCTAGCCCATATGCCAGTATCATTAATGTCTGAAAATTTTGTCATACAGAAATTAAGTGACTTATTCAAGACTGCATATCAAGTTAATAGTAGAGCTAGAAGCAAGGCCCAAGACTGGGAACACCTTTCTACTCTACAACAGCTAAGCAGACATGGACCAAGAAGCATGTGTTGCTGGCCACTCTGATGCCTTGCCAGTGACCTGCAGTGTGCCTTCTCTAAATTGTTACTACTCCTTCCTGGGCAGGAAAAGATTCTTAATGTGCAGCCCCAAGAAGATTACATGGGCAGCTAAACAGCTTACCGGGTTGTTGTTGTTTTATATACACTTTCCCCATTGGTCCTTAGCAAATTTATGGTAGTTTTGAAGGCAGAGCCTGCAGAGTGTTTTGTCTCTGGATGGGTCCTTCCATGTCCTCGTATGTGTCTCCATTCCCATTCCCATCTTCCTCTGCTCTTTCTACACACCAGGCATATGGATATTTACATGCTTACCTGTCAAATCCTCACACATTCTTCATCCCTTTGAGAATGAAGGACTGCAATTCATAAAGGCAGTGGAAACAACAATAATGTTACATTCAAAGTGTAATAGTATTGGCACCACCTGGGCACTGGTAAGAAATTCATGATATCAGACCCTCCTCCAGACTTACTGCATCAGAATCTGCATTTTCATAAGGTACCAAGGTATATTGCCACTTCTTTGAGTCTCAGTCTCCTTATATGTAAGATGAATGATTTAGCATGCCAGCATTCTCAATTTTTTTGCTGTTCTGATACTCCTGAGAGACATAAACCACATTTATTTGTAACAGGATTTGTAGCCCAGTGATTCTCATTGGGGGGTGGAGGGGTGGGGGGTGGGTGGAGGTGGCAGTACTTTGTCATAACTCTTGTTCCTCCAAGGGAGATCTAGGAGCATGGAGAGTGAGGGGTAGCCAGTGTATGAAAAGGTCAAGAATTTCATTTGAAAAACTATCCTAAAGTGAATGATACAGAAAGTTCTTGAAATAGTAAGGAAATGATAACAGAAGGAATTTTTGAACATCTAGAAACCAAGAATAGTGGAAAGAGCAAAAGTATGAGGTACAAGGGGAAGTATGAAAGCAGGAACTCAACCACCCTCAGCAGGGCTTTGTGGAGAATGAAACATTGCTCAAAGCTCTGTGAAGTTCTAAAGATCTGGTCATCTTGTACCTTCAGGGAATGCAACCACTGTTCCCAGTTCCAAGTGGCTGCTCATTCTGACACTACTTAGAGGATTTGAGTAGGCTGGCCAATCAGCAGTCACTTTACACTGCCTCTGTTAGAGCTCTTCTACCATTCGTCGCTGGCTAGTAGGTGCCTGGCTTTTGGTCAGTTGTCTATCTTTAATCTCATCAACCAAGTAATGTGGTCATATTGCTCTAAACAAGGTGATGAATCACCAAGGAACTTCTCTGGTAAAACTTTGGGTGTGCTGGACACAAAGATTTCACAGACATGAGAAATAAGCTTGCTCAGAAAACTTGCTGATCCAAAAAAAGAAAAAAAAAGAAGAAAAATAAATTGATAGATATAATGACATAGATGAATATTAAACAGATTTTATTAAGTGAAAGAATCCAATCAAAAGTCTCTATGCTGTCTGTTTTCATTTATGACCTTTGGAAAAGGCAAAACTATAGGGTTAGAGAACAGATCAGTGGTGGCCGGGGTTGACAAAATACAAGGGATTTTTGAAGGGTGATGGAACTATTTGGTATCTTGATTGTAGTGGCTGATATACAACTCTATGCATTTGTCAAAACTCAAAGAATGGTATACCACAGAAGAGTGCATTTTACTGTTTGTAAAATTTGAAACTAAATATAAATGCTTTTTTAAAAAAAGAAATCTATATTCCTTAGCTCTATAATCCTTGGTTTTTGATCCCTTCTGGCAGATGGGAAAGTATTATTAGTTATATACAGGAAAAGAGTTAAAAGGCAGGTACTAAGTAACTAAAAAGTGATTAAAATTTTAGCTGTCCTATAAGCTGCTTACCCAAGTGCTAATCTCTAATCTCTCTTTAGTGTTGCTTAAAATACCAGTGAGGGGAAAGATACACATCAAAGTCACATTTCCTCCACATTTGGAACCTCCTAAACTGAGCTTCCAACTCTAACTAGAGCACAGTGGGCTCCAGAGGGGAAGGCACTAATGTGAAGAAAGAATGCACAAGGCTGGCCCCCCTTCCCCTTCATATGCTACTGTGATAATGGGTTCTCCAGAGCAAATTGTGAATCTTGAAAAAATAACATGAATTAAAAATACAATCTTCTCTTCAAGAACATAGAGAGGAGGGCGAGGAGGTAGCATTTCCTAACTCATCTCATGAGGTCGATTTTACCAACATGGACATTTTTGACACCAAAACAAGACAAAGACTGTAATAATACTCTACAGTATTGCACATTTGAAAGTTGTTATGAGAATATAACTTAAAAGTTTTCATAACAAGAAAAAAAATTGTATGTATGGTGACAGATGGTAACTAGGTTTATTGTGATCATTTTGCAATATATGCAAATGTTGAATCATTAATGATGTTGTATACCTGAAATTCATATAATGTTATAATGTCAATTATACCTCAGTTTTTAAAAAAATGAAAGAAAAAGATTATTGAAATGGGCAAATAACCTCCACATATGACAAGTTTGAAGGGGAAACATTTGTTCTCATGTGTAAATAAATTCTAATATATCCTTTTTAAATTAAAAATAACAATAATAAAAGTAGTGCCATTTATAATTGCTCTAAATAAAATAAAATACTTAGGTGTAAATCTAACAGAACATGTACAGGATTTCTATGATTAAAAACTACAAAGAGATGATTAAAGAGATCAAAGAAGACCTAAATAATTGGAGAGCTATACCATGTTTATTCATTAGAAGACTCTACATACTAAAGATACCAATTCTCCTTTATTGCAATTTCTTATAAAAATTTCAGCAGTTTTTGCAAAGATAAGTTTATTCTAAAATTTATATGGAAGCAGAAACTGTAGAAATAGCCAAAAGAAAAAAGTATAGTGGGAAGGAGTCACTCTTCCTAATACTAAGGCTTTCTATACAGCTACAGTAGTCAGGACAGTGTGGTATTGACAGAGGGATAGACACACAAGCAATGAAACAGAATAGAGAACTTAGGTATAGACCCACACAAATGTGCCCGGTTAATTTTTGACAAAGGTATAAAATAAATTGACGGGACACTGACAGCCTGTTCAACAACTGGAGCTGGAGAATGAACAACTAAATCTCACACCTCATGCACCTAAAACTCCACACCTAAATCTCACACCTTGCATAAGAACTAGCTCAAAATGTATCAGACTTCTATGGAAAATGTGAAACTATAACCTTTTAGAAACAATAAGAGAAAATCTCCAGAGCCCTGAACTAACCAAAGAGGTCTTAGATTTGCCAGTGAGAGTACAACTTGTAACAGGAAAAAGCGAATATTTTTGGCTTCATCGAAATTCAAAACTTTTGCTATCTAAAAAACTCATAAGAGAATAAAATGACAAATTACATACTGGAAGAAAATATTTGCAAGTTACACACCCAACAGGGGATTTGTATTTAGAAATGAACCTTTATGCCAAGGCTATGAAAACTTGCATAATGCAGTTTAGTATGTCATCTATATGAAAAGTAAAGTTGGTGTCAGTAACCCCTGCAAACACATGACCATACTTCTTCTTCCCCAAGGCAAAGATATCACCAGAGGAACGAGGTGGAGGGGGAGGGGAAGAAGGAAGAGTGTAGGCAGAAGAATTTTACTCAAAGTCTGGCAGGATTCAGTCAAGGCACTCCCAGGAATTCAAGGTATGTAAGACACAGCCCTTCCCTCATGGGCTTTATATTTGTGTGAACACATAAGCCTAATAATAATTACCTAATAATACAAGGCAGTGTTTACTAAAGTACTAAATTACACTGTATAAACAATGAACACTCTAGGAGTTCAGAAAAAACACACACACTCTTTTTTAATCAGCAGAGGGAAGCTTCAAAGAAGGAGGAAGCAATATTTGAGATTTATGCCGGCTGATTGTGAGTGCTTCAATGAAAACAACTCTTCTTTTTCAGTTTATTATTTATGTATTTTTAAAGTTAAATTTATGAGGGTGACATTGATTAATGAGAATACGTAAGTTTCAACTCATTATAACACAGCATCTGTATATGGTACTGCCGGCTGATCACCCAAAGTTTAGTCTCCTTCCATCACCATGTATTTAACCCCCTGTGCCCTCTTCAATCTCTCCCCAGCCCCCTTTCCATATGGTAAACCTGGTACTGTTATCTGTATCAATGAGGTTTTTTTTGTTTGTTGTGGTTTTTTGTTGTTGTTGCTTTCTGGAAAACAGCTCTTTTCTAGTCATGCTAAGAGTTGCTCTGCAAGCATTATGCTAAGTGAAATAAGCCAGTCAATGAAGGAAAAATACCACATGATCTCACTCATTCAACTCTTCTTTTTCAGTTTATTATTTATGTATTTTTAAAGTTAAATGTATGAGGGTGACATTGATTAATGAGAATACGTAAGTTTCAACTTATTATAACACAGCATCTGTATATGGTACTGCCGGCTGATCACCCAAAGTTTAGTCTCCTTCCGTCACATATATTTAACCCCCTTTACCCTATTCAATCTCTCCCCAGCCCTTTTTCCATACGGTAACCATTATACCTGGTACTGTTAGGAGGACACATATGTAATACTCTTTGTAATACTTTTAGCAAAAAATAAATAAATAAAATAAATAAAATAAAAATAAAAAATAGTCATGCTAAGAGTTGCTCTGCAGAAAAAGGAACAAAATATGCTGAGAAAAATCATGAAATAATGACCGTGGGGATGATTTTCTTAGCCTGGACCATTTATTAAGCCTTTGCTCTGAGGTCAGAACTCTGTCAGATGCTTTCTCAGACATTATTTCCAACCCTCCGGCAACGCTACAGGCTGATGCCATTCCTCTTTTGCAGATGTAAAAACTGAGGCTCAGAAATGAAAAGCACTGGCCCAGGGACACACTGACAACGAAAGACAGAGCCGGGAGGTCGGCCTGAACTGCAGCTCTTCCCTCCAGCCCAGGCTGCTGTCTGTGCCTCCGGACACATGTCAGAACAGACAGCTTGCAAAGCAGAAAGTCTTCTCTAAACGTTTACTGTCTGCACTTGCAGCTTGCAAGAAATACAGCCGTGCAGAAAGGGGAAGACTCAAGAGTCCGCAGCCCATGTCACTTTTTCAGGCTCAAGGCCAAGGAACACCCCATGAAAGATCCGCCTACAATTTACCTTACTGTGGTATCCTTATAACAGCAAAGAAAAGCTGAAAAATACGTCAAAGGTTTGATTATTTTTCTGGAAATTCCTATGCAGATTTCCAACTTCTGGTTATTTGCATTTGGTATTAGAGGGCTAAGTCCTTCCTACCTTTCTTACTATCATGACAAGCATGTTCATGGCATATTGCAGAAGCTGGGCATGGGCAAGGGAGCCCCAGTCCACAGCGCACCTCAGTCAGTATGAGCTGGAAGAGGAGTGTCTGCCATTTAATCTTCTTTAAGGAGCTTCTTAATCTGTTTTCCCTCCTGACAAATCCATGTGAACAATGAACCACAACAGAAGAAAATGAGAAATGGCGATTTCCTGAGAAATGGCAGGTAATCCCTGCCTTGACTGTGATGCTGGTAGATATTTTAGGAGAACGTGGCAGTTGTCCTCCAACATACTGAACCTCCATTGCTGTATCAGGAAGAGGCTCTAAATTGGCAATCCTGAATCCATTCAAGGTCGTGGCCACCTTTAAGAACTTAGTGAAAGTTATGAATGCTCTCTTCTCCCCCAATAAACACACACTCCACATGTACATTCTGATTCTGTAGGCATTTTTAGGGGCTTCTGTACCTTCCAACGTTTGTGCCAAAAGCACTGGATTAAGAAAAATTGTGAGGAGTATGGTGATTACCTGAGGGAAAGGGGGTGGGGGAGGTTGAAGAGGATAAAGCGGGGATAAATGGTGATGGAAGGAGACTTGACTTGGGGTTGGTGAACACACAGTCCAATGTACAGATGATATATTACAGAATTGTACACCTGAAACCTATATAATTTTAACCAGTGTCACCCCCAATAAATTAAACTTTTTTAAATTAATTGTTAAAAAAGAAAAATTGTGAGGACATATTGGGCTTAGCAAAAAAATTAAAAAATACTCCTGTTTAACTCTGTGAGATCTTTTCCCTAATCACATGAAAAATGACAGGAGAAGCAGCACATAGATCACAAATCTCATTCCAATTTTTAAATCTCTCTTGTTTCAAATACTTTATTCCACCTACGCTATTTGTTCATCATCTGTCTCCTTCCACAAGAGCACAGAGATTTTGTGTGTCGTCCACGGCTGTGTCACTGGTGCCGAGAACAGCAGTACCTGGGAGGAAAGAGGAGCTCAGCCAATGCTACCGGAAGAAGAAACGTGTCTCCTCTTGAGAGTCCTGAGCTACAAAATTGACTGTCTTCTGTGTAAGTTTAGATTTGCTTTGATCTATAATACAGTAGTCAAATGCTTTCTTCCACCTATACCACTTTGAAATGTATTACTAAATTTGTATTTGCTTTTCAATGCTTTTACTAATTTTACTTACATACTGTTTTCCTTTTTATTTTTCTATAGATTAATCACCTTCCTTTCGCCCAATGACCACCTTCTCCTTGATTGTTTCTGTTCCATTGACTAAAGATAAAGTATATCTGGGGGCATCAATTTATAAAGCCAAGTGAACAAAATGCAATGCATTTAAACGACAACAAAACAAATGTCAGTCTCTCCAAATATGCCTGTTTGACTAGTCAGCTTTAAACATATTGAAACGATGCAAATACTGAATACTGAGATATTAGCATGAATAAGAATTTATCAATGGTGGCTGCTATGAAAATGTGTGGAGTCAATGTGGTTTGGGTGTTTAAACCCTGCTTGCTCCCTCCCATGGTTTAAATATGGCCCCTGCAACATCTTCCCATTTAAATCACTTCACAAACCATTTCCTCAAATATGGTACAAAGTCCATTTTAGTACTTGTGAAATTCTCACAAATTCTGGGTTAGAGAAGTATGAATTAAAGACGTTTCACTTTACTTTGTCATCTGCATTCCTAGGTTTAATCAAAAGCAGTGCTTTAGCATTTTTTTATTTAAAGGGAAAATATAGTGAAAACGACAACAAATGACATTTGGTTGCCCTGTAATACAGAGCTACATCTTGAAACTATGTCCAACAAACCTCTAAAAATCTGTTTGAGGACACATTTTAAAATGTAGGGCCAAATATATGCAGTTAACGTTCATAACTTCCTAGCACCCTACATTCGCTGCCAGCAGACTCTCAACAAATCTGGCTGATATAAAGGAGCTGGCAGAGACCCCGCAGGAACAGACGTTAGTGATACAGAGTGAAGCCTGAGGGAATTATTGCTGCTGGTTTTAGACCAGGAGCCTCAGTAAGCGCCTGCACTGAAATGACTTGATTTGTAGCCACATCGCTCAATTATTCATAGCACTCCCGGCTGCAGCCTCCACACCCTTGCATGAACATTCATGCATATCCATGTTCACATGGGCGGTCATGCTCCCACATGTGCCATTAAGGGACAAGAATGCTGCTCAGAGTTCGCTGATCAAGAGATATGCCGTGCAGAACAGGATTTGAGACAGCCCAGGGTTTCCTCTTCTAGTAGGTTTAAAACCTTTTTTTTTTTTTCTCAGTAACTTCCTTCCTGTTCTAACTGCCAGTGCTCAGAAGTCAGAGTTGAGAGACAGAGGCACCCCGGACAGAGACGTGAAGCACATTGAATGTAAGTTGGAATACTGGGGGGTTGGGGGAGGCTCCAGGTGGGCGCAGAGAATAGGCTACAGCCCTTTCCAGTGTATTCTCTTTTTAGAGGGGCAGTTCCTCTTTAAAACAAACTTTATGATAAGAATGTACTAAGGAGGCTGCTGGAACAGTTCTGCAGAGAAGGGGAAGTCAGAGCCAGGAATGGTAGCAATGACTCAGGAGGGACAGCGCGGTGAGGGAGGAGAGGGTGCGTGCAGCCCAGGAGACCAAATCCTGAATGTCCTGGACAAGGGCTGCGTGTACAACCCCTGGGGAGTGTCCGGAGGGGTTTCCACCAGCTGGGAGCAGGCATCTGGCCAGGCTCAGAGGCAAAAAGACTATAGATCCAAACTGAAACGGATGGTGCTGGAGGATGGCGGGGTGGTGCCGGGGTGGAGATGTGTGGTTTCCTGTTTTTAAGTAGACTTAAAGAGACTGGTTGAAAAGGGGGGAAAAAGTGGCTCAAAGCTGTCAAACATTAAACTGCCTTCCACTAAAGAATGTTCTGGGGATACAAGAGAAATGCATAGTGAAAGCCTTCCTTAGGGTCTACAAGGGGATCTAACTATAAGGAGGAAGCACGGTGGATAGAATGCACTGTTATTTACTCGTCGGTCCTACAGGCATAGAATTTCTACCACGCACAAGCACCTCTTGTTAAATTCCTGTGGTGAGATGGGTAGAAAGGTAATTGCTGTTGTTGCCAAAAACAAAAAATAAAATCTTTACATCTGAGAGAAACATTGAACAGTAAGAGCTAGATTCTAGAAAAATCCAAGTGGACCCAGCTAGGACACCTGGTCCATGGGCTTTCAAAATGAACTGGTCTGAGCTTGGCCGCCATTAGAAGTGCTTGAGGCATGACCTGAAATACTTGCTTCCTTTTTCAAGGATGTCCCCATCGGCATGTTTTCTAAACAGAGCCTGTAATTAAACTCTAGCTGTAGGGTAACTTGTGGGATGATGGGACGGATAAACCCTGAGCTGGTCTCCTGTTCAAGGTGGGGGTAAGGCGGGCTGTTCTCACATGGAGTTCCTATAGTCACCCCCTTCCCACAGAGCCCAAGAGCCCCTGAAATCAGGGCTAGCCTGTTGGGTTCTCAGGGCAGGAATGACCACGCAAGGGGCATCAAGGGGTCAGTCACAGGCAGGTATCATTCTTGTTTGCCATTGCTTTGCTTTGTTCAGTTTACAAGAAAATATCCCTCCTGATCCAGATATGACACAAACACAGGAAGGAGATCATCTTACCCTTTGGTGAGATGTGTGAAATTCTCAGAGGACGGTTCAGTCTCCATCCATGCTACACAGCCAATGTATGGGAAATGACCGTGTCACAGCCAAGCCAAACCCGGCTGGCATCTTCCTGGCACTGAAATTGGTCTCTTCCTTGTTTGGGGGAGCATGCGTTTGCTCTTAGGGAAGCATGCTCCGAGCAACATCAAGGTTCTGCTCTCAGTGGAAGCTCGGACGGGCAGAGTCAATGTGGCAGAAAAATTTGGGCCAGTTTGTGGGAGCACAGTAAGTGCCCAACTTCAGCTCACAGGACAAGAGTGGCCCTGGGGAGGAACAAATAGGCCCACTGAGAAACAGAGCCAGCCTGTGTGGAGTGCCTTCCATGAGTTGGGCCTGGTGTTAGAAATTTTACATTTGAATCCTGGACACAGGGAGGACAGCAAGCCTCGGAAGTGTTCAGTGATTCGACTAAAGTCACGTACTGGTATGTGTAGGGGGTGGGGGTGGCGACACAGCTACAGTGCCTCCGAAGGACATTTTTGGAAATGTCCCATGGGAGCAATTTCCTTTAACCCCACATTCTGAGCATCCTGTTCCTGGGTCAGTGGTATCACCTCCCAGGATTCTAGATTGGAGTCCACACTGGCAAACCCAGAGATGGGTCTCCTGTTGCTACTAAAACTTCGACATCGATTCATTCAATAAGCACTCGATGGCTCTGTGCTGTGTTCCACTCTCTGGTTTCCACAGCCAGAGCTGGTAAAAATTCACGTGGGTTTTCTTAAAGGGACATATTCTAAGCGCAAGTGGTCATTTAAAAAAAAAAAAGGCTTTACTTCTGTCTACTTTTCCATGCTTCATTTAAACCGGTAAATGTGTTGAGATACTACAGTATAGTCTTTTGCCTAATAGTGGCTTCCTTAATGCAGTTTTCTTTACAGATTATTTAAAATAAATATTTGTGAAAATGCCTAGCACAGTGACTTCACACGGTAGACACGGAGAAAAGTTTAAGGAGGATTCAGTTCTCCCTCCTTTTGCATATGAATCTGGGTCAGAAGAGTATATATTGCTATGAATGCACGGACAAGAAATAATGTACTGTTTCTCCCACCAAAGGAAATGTTAAAGAATTCTGCTTCCAGTAATTTGGACCCTCCTCGGGATTGATTGTAGTGTTCGTTGTATCTAACCAGGCCTTGTCCTCTCAGGCTCTGGATTGGTTCTTTTCACACAGCTTTGCAGTTTCAGATGTTCTTCCTGGAGCTGAGGTGGTAGAGAGCAGCCCTAAGGACCCCAGAAAGCAGCGATTCCTCCGTGTCACTAGGGAATACGGAGACTCCAGGGAGGACTCCAAAGCGCAGACAGCTCTGAGGTCCCAAGGGTAGACTTGGATGCCCTGAATAAGCCCAATCACCAAGCAGGCAGCAAAGCAGACCAAATCCCTGACTGGCTCTGAAATGTTGGCAGTGTTTCAGAGGTGGCTCGACCCTCCACGCCCTGCTCCAGAGCTGCAGCCCCAGATATGGGGAAAGTAGGGCTGAATCAGTCATCCAGTCATCGGGGAGTGGAGATGATGGGGTGGGAGGTGGGGAAGGGGATTGGAGAACGCTGATGCTTACTTCCACAGGTACTTCTCTGATGGAAATCCCCTCTGTCTGCTACTTCCACATTTCTCCCCCACCTCCTTGTCTCTACCTCTTTTATCTACTATCTGTGGTCTGTGCTTCTAGATGCACGATCTGGCAACTTGGGGACACGAGTCAAGTCCCCACAGTGTTTTGCTCCAGAGTCAGAGGGAATTCTCTCCATTAGCTGTGCCTTTCTCATCCTTGCAGAGTGACCTCTGGCTTCAATTATGATAGGGAGCAAAAAATAGAATCTAAAATTAAATTGTTCATGTGGAAGCTTTTTTAAAGAAATAAAATAGTGACAGTCCCATGTTAAGGTTGATTCCGTTAATAAACAATCTTTGTAATTCCCAGGACTTCATGTCTCTTCTGTACTCCTCAAAGAAACAACATCTATTTTTAAGGAGGAAGGAGTGGACAGGGTCAACACTGCAGATGGAAGGGAAAGCATTTGGTGCCTGGGCAGTCAGTTACCTCTTCATCAGAGCTGAGCAACAAAACAGACAGCACTGCAGGGAAGGGAGGAGAGGAAGGGAATGGATAGTTATTGGACATCTACTATTGGTCAGTATTGTCCTAGAACTTTTCATATATTTTCTCCTACTCTTCCACCCCATAAAGAAAGATGAGTACTCCCATTTACTGATGCTAAAACTTGGGCTCAGTGAGGTTAATAACTTGCTTAAATTCTATACTAATTCAAGAGCAAACCACAGTTTGAATCTCTGACCCATCAGACTCAAAGTCCATGCTCCAGGAGACGTGAAACTTACCTTTCTCTGAATTTACCAGGTGATTTGTTTCCTCTAAACTCAGAGAGTTTCACCTTTCCTTGCCCTCATATTATTTGGAACTGCATTAATGAACCAGACAGTGTACTCTATCCTGAGATTGTTGCCAGTTCATAAGTGTATTTCACTTTCAATACCTTGGAAATTCCACTGAATCTGCAAGTGAAAACATCGATTTGTGCTATGTCATACTCATGCCATGAGTAACCATCTTAATTTAATTAGGTGTTTTAATTGAGGAGGAAATGATTAAGTCTCCACCTCACCACACCTAATCCTTGTCATTGTTTCACTGAATAGCAGGCCTGGAGGTGTGAAGTTTCCACTGTGAAAACTCATCAGTGTATAGGATTAATTATACCAAATGTAGAAAATAGAGATAACTCAAACAGTAAGCACATTTAAAAAGCCATCATGTGACACAGTCCACCTTAACCTTGTTAAATATATATAATTGTTAATTCTCCATTTCACTTTTCTGTGTAAAGAACCAAAGTCAAAGACAACATCAATGAAACAAGCAAGCAAAACCCTGTTCTTTGTGAAACAGTGGGCAAGCTGGAAGGTGTGAAAAGCCCGGCCAGATGTTCTGCCGATGGGCTGGGTGCTCCCCCACCCCACCTCCACTTCCTCTTTTTCTTTCTCATTTCATAGACTTCTTTACATTAGGGAGCATTCGAATCATTGGACTAAGAAGGGGCCTCCGAGACCTTCTAGTGCAAAGATTTCATTTTGCAGAGGATGAACCTGGAGCTCAGAGGGGTTCAGAGGCTTGCCCAAGGGGACACGGGGCAGAGCTGCACTGAAACCTTCCGTACGTGCCACTTCCTTGCTTTGTTAAAGCCATCCCTGCAGAGTGGGGCAAAGAAGCATTTACCTCTGCCTGTGCACTCCGGATGGATTCCTAAAATGACTGACGTGCTTAATTTTATTGTTACTCCTTAATAAAGATAATGGAAGCAACAGAGCGAAGTAGCTGAAGGTCAGACAACCCACACTCTGCCCCTTACACAATATGTCTTCTTAGGCACGTTATGTACCTGAATCTGTAGAAGAGTTTCCTGATCTGTAGTGAGCACTACGTGAGGTGAGGTAAACCTCATGAAAGCATTTAGCACTGTAAGATAGTTATTATAATGATCATCACCAATAAATTCAATTATTCTTTAGATGATGAGATTAGAAAATGGTCTATAGAATTTCCATCAAATTTTGATTTAACTTTAATAAGCACCTGAAAGAAAACTGACACTTGTGGCTAAATATACACAAATACATAGTTTGGGAAATGGTCAGCAAACTATATAAACCATTTATGGCTGGGGTTTGGGAGAATCAAGGTTCCCCAGAGATAAACTGTGAAATTTAAAATGTAGCACCTTTGGGGAATTCACATAAATTTGAAATACAACACAGAGATGTAGTCTCTTAAATACTCAGTAACAGAAATACGGTAACTGAATGCCAGCCTCACTGGCTTTAACAGGAGAAACATGTAAATAGAGGCCTTAGAAAAGGAAAGCACTGAGATATGGTCTGCTCTCACACGTCACCTCCGAAGACGAGGAAAGAGAGATCCATAGTGGTTGGAACATTTGCTGGGTGGGGTCACAGCTACTTAGCAGCAAAGCCAGAACCAAAACCCATGCCTGATAAGGCTTAATTTAGTGTAGAGATCAGAATCCAAAATCAAGTAGATGGACCACAGGACTCTTCTCCTGAAGACCTGCTCCCTGGGCACCTTTGCTTTCAGTCCAGGCTTTGCAGTCATGTTCCCTCAGATGAAGAGGCTTCCTGATATCTCTTCCTGCTTCTATACACCCAGCATTTTGTGTTCATGAACTTGATCCTTAGCTTGAGGCCAAGTTGTGTCTTTGATCTACCAGGTCTGAGAGAGAAGGAAACTTTCTCAACTCTTTGTTTCATATTTCCAAAAGTTATAGTTTCAAGGTCATGTTCCTAATCTTGGACTCGAGTGAAGTCTATGAAGTACCTCGGGGGTCCATGAATCCCTGGATTGCATGCACAATTTCATTGGTTTATTCCTTCCTTTTTTATGAGGACCATGACTTTTATTATATGTTTAAAAAGATCTGCAATCTCCAAAAATCAATCAAACCAGCTGGGCCTTTTTTAGTCTGAGTAGATTGTTCATCCTCCAATCCCTTCTCCACTTTGTTTGTCTCTTTGTTTTAAATATGTTTTTATTGATTTCAGAGCGGAAGAGAGAGGGAGAGAAAGATAGAAACATTAATGATGAAAGACAATAATTGATTGGCTGCCTCCTGCATGCCCTCCACTGGGGATCAAGTGTGCCCTTGACCGGAATCGATGGGACCATTTAGTCCACAGGCCAATGCTCTAACCATTGAGCAATACCACCTAGGGCTCCTTCTTCACTTTGAAGAGTAACTTCAGCATTGGTATGGGCTAAAACAGTGTCTTGCAAACAGTAGGTGCTCTCCAATTTTTTCTGATTTTAATTTTGCTTCAAAGGGGCTTTTCCTGAGAACTACTTCTCCAGTTTGTTATTTGCTATAGTAAGATATTTTCATCTTTTTCTAATCAGCTTACCAGAGAGAGCTGGTTTTGGATTATCTCTTTTTCCTATGCTATATAATTAAACCAAATTATTTTTGTGTGGTCCTGAATGTCCTCTTTTTGACTACAACAAATTCATACAGTAACCCCACATTATCCTCTGCTCTTCTATGTCTTTAAATAAATTGGTGTCTCATTTTTATAGAATTGATATAAGTCTCATATTTACTAATGAGAAGATCAAGATCTAGATGACAGATAGATTGACTTGTCAATGATCATCATACTGTTAGAGGTTAGCAGTTCCTGTCCCAGACCAGATTTTTCTCTGTCTCCATCTCTCTGCTCCTCTCACTCTCTCTCATATTCTCATTTCAAAATTGAGATTCTAGGGTATAGAATTACAATTCCCTGTAGGTTATTGAGATAGCCTTGAGCTAGTTAGAGGCTGGGTGGGAAGTCTAATAGTTAAGGCTTCAAGCAGATGACTTGTTAGAAGCAAACAACATATTCCAGAAAGGCCTGTCCATGGGGCTGAGATGCCGTCTTTTGCAGATGTTTCATCCACAGGTTTGTTATGTGACCACCACCGTGGGGATCTGGCCAGGCTTCTGGGTCAGAAGAAGAGAACATGTCTCATCTGATTGGTCTCTTCTGGGTTGCTCTTCATCTGCCCCTTAATGATTGTCCTTAAACTATCCACAACCTACAACCTCTATCCACTGCATCCTTCATTGTTTTTCCAACCAGTCCATTCATTTTCCCTAAGTGTTGTTTGGAACATGAGCTGAGTTGGTCACTGTGTTTATTGTGCTGTTCTCTAGAAGCTCAGCTTTGAGTGGTGCTGGCTCTTCAGCCGAGGCAAAAGTTGCCATAGGAACAGGCCTACGGGTTTCCTTCCTGTACAGGAAGTGGACCTGGGCATTGCGATACTGTTTGCAGAGTTGATCAAGGCTCGTCGTGTTTGACTTGTTATTTTACTGGAAGAGAATCAGTGAGCCAAGAGATACCATTTTCTTTCTTTTTTTCTTTTAAAGTTACTTTTTTGGGGGGCTTTATTTCCAAATTATTTTTCTTCCTGTTGCCAAGGATAGTGACCTTAAAACTAAAAACCACAACTGATTTTGGCCAGAGATAACTTTACTGTCAGGGCACCTTACAGGAGTTTGCAGTCACTCGGGGTGAGAGGTGACAGGTATTGTCTTACTTTGCACCATTTTGGAGCAATGACACCTTTACCCACAGGCAGAGAAGGAGTTACCCTCAGGGTAGAACTGATAGAAATCAGAAAATGATCTGTTTGCCCAAACAGCTCCAGCCACTGGGCCCGTCATGGAGCCTGAAATTCTTCCAGCAGACTTTTTCCCCTATGAGGACACTGCATCTCATCCACCCATGTGAACTTGGGCAATTCTCTTACCTTCTTGGATTCAACTTTCTCAATGATTAAATGAAGGGTTGGAATATGTCATCTCTAAAGTTCATTTCAGCTCTGGAAGCTCTGACTATACCTGCCTTAAGAGGAATAAATTTTAAGCCTGTTATCCAGTCATTAACACTTAAGCATGAATACTTTTATTAGATCTGTCCTCCCTTTTTTTTTTTAACACAAAATGAGTAAATGTAGATGATGATGGAAGAAGACAGACTCCAGGGTACGCTCAGGAGAGGTCTTGGAGCATAAGGTCACTGGAAATCTGGGGAGGGGTGGGAGGTACTAAAGGGGAAGTGGGTCCAGAAAAGGGAGATCAGTGGAGGGATACAAAAGTCATAGCTGCAGGTTTGTCTAGAAAAATTTAGAGTCCTTTGCTATTTTGTGTCATTTCAGAAGAACAGAAGATCTTTAGATATAGAACCTAGTAAATCAACTGATGAATGTTTATAAAATGCCTGAAGTAGTCAAGTGTTATTGAATATTCAAGAGAAACATAGAGCCTAATACCTGCTCAAGAAATTATTAGCTGTGTTGAGTGGAAACCACTCAGACACCTCAGGCAGGTATCATGGGGTGCCTACAATTTCTCTTTGAGGTTTTGCAGGAGTTCGGGGAAGAGTCAGTTAATGGAAAGAAGCCAACTTCCTTTGGCAAGCTCTCCACCTGTCTCAGGAAACCATCATATGCAGGATTGTACATGCTGAGAGCTTCGACACTAGCAAGGCTAGTTAGATTTGGAGGACTGTGATAATTTCTATAACTATTCAAACAGATGCTATTGGCTCATTATTCAGACCTGCTTGTGCTATGTTGCTTCATTTGTAGCATATAATTCATAAACGAACTTTTCTTTTGTCTGTTTAATTCAGTGAATAGGGGGTACTCATTATAATACCAACAAATTCAGGCTTGGCAGGGAAAAGACTGGAATGCATTATATTCATAATTCATGAAATGTAATGAGGTGAAATTAGGGGAAAATCACAACTATGGAAGTCCATTAGGGCAAAGATAATGCTAACTGCACCCTCACAAATGTTGTTCAGATCCACTGACTTTGGCTAATGGACTATCATTCTCTCTCTCTCTGAAATAGATCAAAATGACTGAAAAGGCACCAGAACCACAACTGGAGGAGGAGGAGGATGACCTGGACGGGAAGCTCAATTATAAGCCTCCACCTCAGAAGTCCCTACAAGAGCTGCAGGAGATGGACAAAGATGACGAAAGTCTAACTAAGTACAAGAAAACGCTCCTAGGGGATGGCCCTGTGGTAGTAGGTGTGTGTATGGGGTTGGGGGTCAGGTGGAGGGTCCCAGAGAAGACATACATTTCAGCTACTCAACAGCAGGGCAAAGGAAAGCGTACCAAGTGCCTCCAGGGTTAAATGAATGAATCACGATCTACATGTGAATAAAGTGATGAACTGTATAATTAAGTCTTCTTTGGAGAAGAGTTGCAAGTTAGCATTGAAACAAGAAAAGATAACACATGGGGAGGATTTAGAAAGAATTTCAGTTTACCGTTTAGAATTGTATTCTCTCCATTCTCACATTTTTCTCTGTCTTCTCGTTCTCATTCATGCTCCTTACCTAACCATTCATCACTTCCACATACGCTGTAGCATACTAAGACATGGCCCAAAGATATGGATGAACAGTGCCCAACTAGCAGAGTACCTCACCCACAATCACTCAGAAAATATTGGCTGTTTATAATTAGGACCTACAAGTGCCCAAAGCAGAGAATAACATCGCTGTAATTTATAAGGCCATTGTGATGAAGCATGGTAAACCTACCATATACACTTCTATTTCTACTTCAGATCAAGTTCTCACCTTTCTTTTTATATTCTTCCTCTCCTACTTGAAATGCATGCACACACACACACACACACACACAACACAACACAACACAACACAACACAAACACATATGCGCACACACACAGAGATACATGTCTCTTCCTTATGCTTACCTTTCCTTTTGAATCCTGCAGACCCCAAAGCCCCCAATGTCACTGTCACCCGCCTTACCCTGGTTTGTGAGAGTGCTCCAGGACCAATCACCATGGACCTCACTGGTAAGTGGACACATCTGTACTGTTCAAAGGGAGCTAATGCAATCACTGGAAAAACTTGCTCTTTGTCCCCTATCCCAGAAAAGGGAAACTTGTAAGGTGAACCCCTGAGATACATGTTCTGGGACCAGTTCACAAACCCCTGCTCTCGGGGAACGCAGTATTGACCATGCTTCTTGACAGCCAACCTCTGTCTCTAATTGAAGAGAGTGCAGGCATAGGTACTGGATATATTTACTTGGGTCAGATTTACTTCATATTTTTATCTGCACATGATGGCAGAATTCCTATGGAAATTACTAAAAAGATGGAAACATTAAGAAGCTGTATGCTTCTGAAATAGTAATATTTACACAATCTAAACGTCAGAAACAATATTGATCTTATAGCAGCAATTACAGCCTGAAAGCAAGAAGCAATCTAAGGCCTCCTGAATAATGCTAGGAATTCCACTGCCAAATATATATTATTTTAACCTAAAGCTCTGATTCTTTTAAATAAGCAACTCCCCAACCCCTCAAAAATATGTACAAATTAAGATGTTATTTTCTTTCACTTTACTGTAAACCAGGGTCAAGACCTTTCCCGAGCAGAGGAGAGGCTGGGAAGGCGGGATTAGGTGGGGGGGGGGGGGGGGGCAGGAAGTGGGGATCTGAGAGAAATAAGGAAAGGGCCACAGAGCTGGGAGGTTGGACGAGTAAAGGAAGGTCTTTACTAAAAAGAAAAAAAGCATCACCAGATTTATAAAGTGAACCCTTGAGACAGAGCAATGCATGGCTCTGGAACAGAGAGGCTTAGCAGCAAGTAGTTCCCCTCTCACAGAACATACCCACTCTTTGCCTTATATGGGCTTGTCAGAGAGAGGAAATCAGAGGCTGAGAAGATACTTCCTCTTCAACTGAAATCGTTAGAGCAGACACACAAATTCAACTACCCCCACGGTCTAGCATCTCTCCAGGAGAGACACTTGTGTTCTCTCTCTCTCTCTCTCTCTCTCTCTCTCTGGGACTTGGGCCTCTTCCTGTGTGCAATTGTGTAATGTGACCAGATACAACATTCATTTTGTAAGATAAGGCCTGAATGAGTGTGAAGGAAACTTGTTCTTTTTTTTAAAAGGTCTTACTTGATGTTATTACAGGGAAGAGTTGGTCCCTGTCCCTGTTCCCAGCACCAGGAAACCCAAATGTAGTTTTCTGTAACCAAGAAGCTACTGAGGTGAATCGCAGATATATATAGGGTGCTAGTACCAGCCTGTGCATGATGCATGTGCACAGAGCAGTGCAAAACACACACACGTTCACTCCTCAGTGTCCAAGGATACAGGTCCACATTGGGAGAAGTACAAACAATGATTATCTTCTGACCAGGGTGCAGGGATTAAGGGCAGATCCCAGTTTTATGGAGCCCGAAGCTTTTATGACTTAAGTGATCTCCTTAGGAAAACTAACATGAAATTGCAACTGCAAGTGCAAAATTAAGTACAAAAGCAAACATGTATTTGGAATGATAGAAAGGAATCAAAACAAGCACATTTTTAAAAGCTAGGAAATGCCACATGACCAAATCTTAAAAAATGTAAGTAGCTGGTATTCTTATACAATACTTTTCCTATATTTTTTTATTTGAGGTGTAGGGGTATATTCTTTAATTCTTTCATCATTTTTTTTGTTTGGTCATGTGTATACAATGTCATGTTCAATAGAGAGACTAGAGAGATAATACAGTCTGTCCTCTAGAGTGGTTGATTAAAACTTGTTTTCTATTATTGAACAATTAGAAAAGACATTTTTGTACATAACTCATTACTGGTAATGCTTGTATCTTCTCAGGGTTGTTGTCAAACTAAAACACATTTCTTTCATATCTGCCTGTAAGATTTCAGGCATTTCCAGTGTGCGTTTGCACAGCCACTAATCTCAAATATCCTTAGAGTTGAGGGCCAAGTAGACCATGATGCTCTGATGGGCCCAGCAAATAGCTCTGGAGCTTGAACTTCATCTACTTTTGTACCTCTTTCTGAGGAGAATAAACTCTTTCTAAATTTACTTCTACAGGGGACCTCCAAGCCCTCAAAAAAGAAACTTTTGTGCTAAAGGAAGGTGTTGAATACAGAGTGAAAATTTGCTTCAAAGTAAGTATCTTGCCCTACATGTTTGACAAAGTTTAAATCCTTCCTATAATCAAAGAAAGAAAAAAATCAAATTTCTTGCATTATCATGTTGGCAAACTTTGTGTTTTCTTTTTTCCCCCTGGAGATAGATTTTCTTCTCCCCAACTCTGGGCTCCACCCATTGAGACCCACCCTTTCCTCCTGCCTTTTCCCAACCAGAATCTCCTTCATTGATTACTAAGCCTCTCTCTGTGAACCCCTAATACTCCCATCCATAAGGCACACACCGCTTTGTATTGTACCATGTATGTCATTTCTCCCCTATACTGCCTAAGCACCTTGAGATAGGGAGAGATTTTATATCCCTCCTTTCCAACCATTCACACAAAACTTTGTAAATGGTAGATATTTAGTGAATATTTATTGAGAGATAGGTGAATTAATTAATTAATAGGAAAAGAAAATAGAACAGCTCTAATTGCTTAATAATTATATAAAGCCAAGGGCCCTGAGAAGTAACTGGAAATTACAATTTAGTTATGGAGCAGATAAGCACAAAACTAAATAGGAGATAAACTGACATATAATGAATAGGTACATGTCCCAGTGAGCAGCCAAATCAAGGAGAAAAATAACCTTGACTTTGAAAACAAATAGGTCAGAAATTCATTGTTTACTCTCAGTTGCTTATATTTCCCTTGGTTGCCCTCATTCTCACCCAGTCATACTCTCCAGGGCCTGGGCTCCACCAAGGAAAGCCCCACCTCCTTCTTTATTTGCACACCAGGCCCTTCTTCCTCTTGGGTGCAGCGTGTAACTTGGGGCCCATGAACAATCACTCTCCACCACATACAAATATGCCTCAAAATAGTTTCATTCTGAAAATATTTGTTAATGCTTACTCTATAATAGGCACTGAGCTACGGTTCACTCCCTGGTTTCCTGTAGTACTATTTATTACTAACGCACCTGAGAGTTTGGTAAGGCATTGTATCTCAATGTGCCTAAAATAGGTTACACAGTAGTCCAATTTTTTAAAAAATATATATATATTTTAAATTGATTTCAGAGAGGAAGGGAGAGGGAGAAGGAGAAGGAGATAGAAATATCAATGATGAGAGAACCATTGATCGGCTGCCTCCTGCACGCCCCACACTGGGGATCAAGCCCGAAACCCGGGCATGTGCCCTGACTTGGAATTGAACTGTGACCTTCTGGTTCATAGGTCGATGCTCAACCACTGAGCAACAATAACTGGGCAATCCAATTTTTAATCATTACCACTACTGCCTTAATCTGTCAATTTAGTAAGCCAGTTTTTATCACATGAAATGAATCATGACAGGTAAATGGTGATGTGAATGAGATGAGAAAGAAAGGTGTGGAACATGTGCTTCTGCTCTGTGGGGAGGCCGAGGGGGAAACCGGTGGTGGAGGCCTCAGTAGTCAGGGCTACACATTAAGGTGATGGAGGAGGAGGACACAAAAGGGGAGTCTCAACTCCCATCCACCTCAGGGATGTGGCCTTGTCTCTAGAGGCAACCCCCATGAAGTTGAACCACCCTGTGGCCATTCCAGCATGGAGCTCCAGTTATAAGGAACACCAGTTCAAAATGAAAAAATAATTGAAAAGCAATTTAAGCCCTAGCTGGTTTGACTCAGTGAATAGAGCGTTGGCCTGTGGACCAAAGGGTCCTGAGTTCGATTCTGCTAAAGGGCAGGTACCTTGGTTGCAGGCTCCTCCCCTGCCCTGGCCCTGGTTGGGGCTCATGCAGGAGTCAACCAATCCATGTGTTTCTCTCACATTGATGTTTCTCTCTGTCTGTCCCTCTCCCTTTCATTCTCCCTAAAAATCAATGGAAAAAAATTATCCTCAGGTGAGGATTAACAAAAAAATAAAAAATTAAAAAAATAAAAATAAAAATAAAAAGCAATTTAATTCTATGCTGGTGTCTCTTGAAGACTGTCCAACAAAGTTTGCATGTATAACACCAGCAACATATCCTGAAACCCTCTTTTTTTATGTCTCTTAGTTGCTCTCGGTGTCTCTTTCTCCCCCCAAATTTTACAACACTCTTCCAAAATTTGGCCTGTGATGGTTCTTTTAGTTTCTGCTTTTCTTTCTTCTGTCTCTTAAGGAAATGGTAGTGTGTCTGACTTCCACAGCTCTCACTTCCATTCTCATCCCGAAGCTTCTTCATCCTGGTGTGGAAAGACATGGGGAAGGGCATCCAGACAGAAGAGAATACCAGGAATATTTATATTTTTTATCCATAACAAACATTAAAATGGACATTTTATGAAGCAGTAGAAAAATATGAAACTCTTTGTTTTGAAGTCCTTATTCCTATGCCACCATCATTCCTGATTTTAGGTCTTATTTCCACCAGACCAATTTCCCATGAGGCCTAAGGGACCAGCTTAGAGGCTTCTAGAAAGATCCATTCATTTTCCCTATTCCTATGAGCCACATGGGGGAGTCAGAGTCAGTAGAAAGGTTGGGTTTTGTTATATCACAATTCTTCAGCATGTTTTCATTTTATCTGCTTTTGATAGATTTATACGACAGATTTTACTGAGTGACAGTCTAGAACCTAAGCTGGCAGTGTTCACTGCAATGCTACCTCATTATAAACAATGAAGCACTGAGAGATTGATTTCATTATTCTATCCAAAACAAAAAGAGAGCCATAATTATTGTTGGGGAGAAATTACTCAAAAATGCTTACATTCTTGGGTAAGAGATCAATCGAAGGACTTGTATGCATGCATATAAGCATAACCAATGGACATAAGACAGTGGGGGGTAGGGGAGGCCAGGGGATTGTCAAGGGCAGGGGAAAAAAGGAGACATATGTAATACTTTAAGCAATAAAACAATAAAATTTTTTAAAAAGTTACCAAAAAAATGCTTACATTCTTCATATCGATGAACAATTAACCAAGCCTTCCAGCCAATGACTCAATGACCAATTTAATTTGTTTGTATAAACATGATCACCATATAAAATTAAGAGACAACCCAGTTCAGTCCGAGGTAAAATGACTAATGGAAAAACAAAGTACTTGGACTGTTTATATTTTCATTCTGCCTTAGTAAATTTTCTTTGAAAGGCTTGGGAAAGTATCACCACCTCAGACAACGTCTGAAAATGACAGACATCCAAAGTACTTGCCAGACACCAGTGGCTTTTACCCATTATTTATCTATAGGGAGGATGCTTTCCTGTGGCCCATCTTTTCAGCTCAAGACCTCAAGTTATACCTACATTACAGGAACAACCACCCCCTAGACTTGATTTTCCATTACAGCTTTTCTCCTTGTTGTTTGGTTTTCGTGGGCTAAGTGGATCATTTCTCAGGTTGGGATTTTCAGATATTTACACAATATTTTCCATTGGTAGCATTGTAACCTTCCTAAGACAAGGACGTTCTTCTGGCTAATAGAATCAGGGAGAGGGAGCTCAAGACCATTCTTTGGACCATTGAGGAAGGAGAAGTGTAATGAAGAATATTGAGATGGTGTCTTAATTAACCACTCCCCTTCACAAACCCCAAAATCACAGTCTTCAATGATTAAAACCAGATTGGCAACATTGAGTCTTGTGAACGCCTCTCTTCAACTCTGCCACACCATCACACTAAATCAGTGATGGCGAACCTTTTGAGCTCGGGGTGTCAGCATTTTGGAAAACCCTAACTTAACTCTGGTGCCGTGTCACATATAGAAATTTTTTGATATTTGTAACCATAGTAAAACAAACTTATATTTTTGATATTTATTTTATATATTTAAATGCCATTTAACAAAGAAAAATCAACCAAAAAAATGAGTTCGCTTGTCACCTCTGACACACGTGTCATAGGTTTGCCATCACTGCACTAAATGATAATAATAACCCTTACTCTGAACTCAATCTTCAGTCTTCTTATGCTCAGAGAAGACAGCTAGGTAGGATCAGGCTAGATAATGAGGAAAAATGAAAGAGCCCCTTTAATCTGAATTGCTTGGGTCCTTCCCACCTACAGGTGAACAGAGATATTGTGTCAGGCCTGAAATATGTTCAGCACACCTACCGGACTGGGGTGAAAGGTAAGTGACCTATACTTTACACTGTCCCCAAATCTGCTTCTCACTGATACTTAAAGTTCTGGTTATTAGCAAGTTTTAGGCATGGACTCATTTCAGAATCTGATAAAAAGCCGTGGACTCTCACCCTAGGCAAAGGCACACATTATACCTTTGACCTAGATGTTAATGGCAAGACCTACCTTCAGGAGACATAGTTTAGATGAGTCAGCCACTCACCTTCGGCGTTCAGCTTCTGGAATTCAATTTTATTGCTCATAAATGGAAAGAGTAACCAAGATAAGATTGAATAAAATGAAGTACATAAAAGTACTCTCAAAAGTAAATAAACAAATAAATAAATAAAGCAGTTCACAGGTATAAAACCTGAGTGTCAGAGAAATCCAAAACAGGAAAGACCTATCCACTGGCATTTTGTGTTTAATGGGAATGAGACTTGGTGGAGTGGTGGAGGGGTGAGGTAGGGGGTTGGGGGGAGGGCAGTGCTTAATTTCCTAAACAAAGAAAGAAAAAAAATTCTTTCTGGGATTGAGAAAAGCTGTCTAATCGAAACAACTAATATAGCATTGCTTAATCGGCAGCCATTCTTGACAAGATGTACCTAAACTGTACATGCCTTGGGAACCTGCCCTCAGGTCTCTTCCATGAGTATGGGCAGGGGGAAATGAAGAGTGAAAACCAGATGGGAGCACACTGACAGTCCTTTTCTACTTTAGGGGTTCTCTTCCCAGAGGTGTGAAACAGTAATGCATCCATTCCACCAAGTCCATAAACAAGAGAGAGGGAGGAATTGTCTGATAAATTTGCATAGAGAAACACTCCGTTACTCAGATCCCACAGAAGATTGTTGACGTGAAAGATTTTAATTGGTCTTTCCAATACCTAGTCTCATGAAAAATAGAGTTCAGTTTCTCATTTTCTTTTGGGCATGGAGACTATGTTGCCTCCCTGAGGGGAGAGGGCTAGGATGCGCCTGTAGCTGTTCCTTCAGACTTATTCACAACACTTAACAGCTAACTAAACAGTGCCTGCCTACCTACATACCTGTATTTACACTTTCTAATTCCCTACTGATTCTTAATATACATTCCAGTTATTCACCTATTAATAATGTTGGTTAGCTATTTGCACCATTTGTCTCAATTCTTACTTTCTTAAAAATTTATCTTTATTGTTGAAAGCATTACAGATGTCCCCTTTTTTCCCTCCATTGACCCCCCTCTATTTGCTCCCATCCAAGAAATGTTAAATGGACTGTTGTAATAAGCATAAAGAATAAAAATGGCAATAAATAAATACCTATCAATAATAACCTTAAATGTAAATGGATTAAATGCTCCAATCAAAAGACATTGGGTACCTAAATGGATAAGAAAACCAGTTCTTACTTTTTTAAATCAAATTATTGATTTTCCCCTTGCATTCAAATTATTCTATCCATGATTTCTGTTCATTCTGGTCACCAGCTGTTACTTTATCTGCCCCAATTGATGTGTTTATTAAATGATCTTCTGTAGATAAAAGATCCTTGAAGTTCATTATATAAAAAAGAAATGGAGGCCCAAAATATGACTTAGAAAAGAATTCAGATCTCAACTAGTTTGAATTTTTTGGTTGAGATATAATTGACATATAACATTGTATTAGTTTTAGTTGGGCAACATAATGACTTGATATATGTATATATTATAAAATGATTACCATAATAAGTTTAGTTAACATCCATCAACACACAAAGTAACAATTTTTTTCTTGTGATGAGATCTTCTTAAGATCTACTACTCTCTTAGCAACTTTCAAACATACAGTATGATATTATTAACTATAGTCACCAGGCTGTACATTACATTCCCAGGACTTACTTACCTCATCAGTGGGATTTTATACTTTTTGACTACCTGGGACTTTTTTATGGTATAATCTGCTACATCTCCATAAAAACATTCTTCATCCCCATTGATTTAGGGCACTGATTCTGCAATTTTTCTGATACTCGGAATCAGCTATTTTTTAAAAACACTGATTCTAGGGATCCACAGCAGGTTACTGAACCATAGTCTTTGGGTCAAAGGAAACTGTAGTATTAAAAGGCACTCAAATAAAAAATATTTTTTAAGAAAAAACAAAACAAAAATGGTGCCCAGGTAAACCTGATGTGTAGCCAGGCTTGGACACCATTGCTCTTGGCTTTGATCCCTGTAAGCAGTGCTCCAACTTCTCCAATCCGCAGTGTTTGTTTTTCTCTCTCAGACTCTTGCCCTAACGAACTTCCCTTTCTTCCCAGTGGATAAAGCCACATTTATGGTTGGCAGCTACGGGCCTCGGCCGGAGGAATACGAGTTCCTGACTCCGATTGAGGAGGCTCCCAAAGGCATGCTGGCCAGAGGCACCTACCACAACAAGTCCTTCTTCACCGATGACGACAAGCATGACCACCTCACCTGGGAGTGGAACCTGTCCATTAAGAAGGAGTGGACAGAATGAGCACATCTGCCCATCCCTGTCCCTGCCCTGCCACCTGGAAGAACCCTCTACATCGTGTTCACCGCCCTGTCCTCCCCCCTCATCACAGCTGGGCCCCTTCCCCAACACCCCTCACATCCTCTTGTTGACGCATCTTCTCCCGCTCTCTCTCTTAGAGTGATCCCTAACACTGGACGCTTAAAACCCAGGCTTCGGTCCTGCCCACTCTGATCCCCCATCATGGCCAGATCTTCAAAGTTCTGTTCCTCAATGCACAGTCATGAAATATTTCTTCTCTTATTCCCATTTGAGGAGTGAGAGGCCAGGAATCACTAACAACCCTTCTGCCTTGGGTTCCAGTGCTCATTCCCACCCCTGGATTGTTCTGTGGTTGCTGCTGGCTCAGTGAACGTCCCTAGCCACATTCCCTGCCTCGTGGGTTCTTCTTTCCTGGGAGACACTTAACCAGCACAAGAGAGTGAGAATAAAGCAATTGTATGACCTGACCGAGACTCTCATTTCCTTGCTTTCCTCGTTTGAACAAATATGGTAACTGGATGGTTCCTGGGATGGGGTGGGGCAGGACATAGTAGAGGAGGCATTTACATCCCTGGGAACAGTTTGGGTCCCCTGTTCCTGCAATGGGCAATGAACCTTCAAAATATGAACAGAAGAAAATGGCAATTTGTTTTATTTGATGGTATTATCCTATGACAGTTTGTTGTTGTTTTTTCTGATCTTGAGACCTATGTCTCCCACTGCCTATGGGGTCTCTTGGAGTTCCACAGTCATCTTGGCCCCAATCAGACACTGTTTCTCTCCTGTTTAAGATCTTTCCACGGATTCTCATCACCTACAAAATAAAATTGAAGCTCCTAGGCTTCGTTCATAAGCCCCTCTGTGATCTGGTCCCAGCATACCTTTCTGCCCGTAATGATCATTTCCTTCCCTTCGGAATACTCAATCACTAATAATTCTCTCTCACATTACATTTGCATCGCTGGGCTTTGTCTCATTACATGAAACTCAGGTTCCATCTTTGTTGTCTGGCAAAATTACTTACTCAGGACTCTGGTTGGGCATCCCCTGCAGGGAACAAAACCTTCACTAACCCCACCACTGTCCTAAACATCCTTCGTCTGACCTCTCACAGTGCTCTATGGGTTCCTCTTTTTTTTTTTTCACTTTTCATTTTATATTTAAATGATGTTTATTTGTCCATTTCTCACATTAACAATCTAAGCTGGGAGAGGCTAGATCAGATCATAGTTACCTTTGTATCCCTAGAGCTTAGGTCAATACCTGGCATAGAACATTGTTTTCTTATTTAAATGAATTGACTTTCTTCTGGTTGGTTTTGTGCGGAGGCCCTGTCACTAACCTCGGTCTTTTATCTCAGAAGTTGAAGGTCCCCCTAGAGCCAGCTGCAAGGTTCCCAAAGCTCTAAGAACACCACAGCCCATGAAGTACAGAGTAGGCTGTCCTGAGTCCGTGTCCCAAAACACAAAGTCCAGGGGTTGGATCAGGAGCAGAAGAAGAAGAATGGAAGCGACACCACCCAGATGCCTGTTTCTGTTATTTCTCTTCACGTGCAAGCTGTCCCCAGATGTTGCTGCAGAAATTCAAGAATCCTCAGGTAAACAAAGAAAAGCAAGCGGCACTTGGGTGACCAGAGGGCGAAAGTGTTGTTAGGAGAAGGAAAGGGAACAGGGTCATACTCTGAGTACTTTTCCTCCAAACCTAGAATATTCCCTCAGGAAATGGCTGTGTTGCCTGGTGGAGAAGAGAGAAGTCTGGCATTATCCTTCAGAGAGTGGCCACAAGGTGGGGTCACCCTCCATATGTTGGCTAAAAAAACGAAGCTTTGGAATAATCATTGCACCCCTAGAGCTCCTTGCCTGAGTGTGGAGAGAAACAGGGTAGATGCCCCTATTATTTAGAGCTGCAACTTCTCTTAGGGTGTCATCACCCTAACACCTTCTGCTTCTTCTCTCTGTGTCTAGATGCCTCCAGTGCTCCCCAGGAACCTGTGCGGCTCACGGGTGTCCCAGCTGCCATGGAATTCATTGCTGCTGCTGAGGTGGCTGTCATAGGCTTCTTCCAGGTTTGTCAGATACCCTGCTTGTTACGCCCCCCAAGAGGCAGGAATGCCGGGCCTCAAAGGAGCCATGACCGCCACCGGCTGGCCAGGCGGCACTACCTTAGAAGCCAATGGGGCTCAGAGTTTGCTTTCAGCATTTTCATTCAAGAACTCTCCATTTTTAGGCATGTTCAGTCTCTGAATTATGTCTTTCTCAAAAGTTCTGAGACTGCAAAGAAGACTCCGGGTCTCCTCACCTATGGGTGCTTTGAAACCTAAGTCAGTATCTGATTGCTGAGTCAGGGGCGGAGTAAACCCAACTTCTACCATCCGGGCAATGCTCGAGTCAATAGTGACTTTCGTCTAACTCCTTACCAAATAGGTAGTCCCTCCTTCATCTACATCTTTGTTTGCTCTGAAATGTTGAAGAAGGATGACATGTTATACATCGAAGGTGTTAGCCTCGGTCTTCCAGATTGGCTGCCTGGCTAATGAAAGCAGCCATAAATGAGAGAGCATCATTCCAGTATTTTTATCTTTCTCTGGAGGTAACATCTGGTGATTCTCACAGCTGATCAAGTCCCCTTCCCTCTCATTGCAGACCTTGTTGTCAGTTTCCACTCATTAATTCCAACGCATCCTCACCCTGTGGATTCTGTGTACACAGCTGGAAATAGCTGTGAGATGTATGGGGTGGGGGGGGGGGAGGCGATGATAAAAAGGGAGCACATTTTTCAGTGATGAGAGCTCTGAGCTATAGGCAAAAGTAGCCACCCTGGGAAAGGCAGGGAGGGGCAAAAAAGTGGAACTGGAGGAGTGTGCAATAACTTAGACAGCCACTAGGTGCCGTCATTTGATCTGTGAGCAATTGCATTTTAAGGGGAAGTCTAGATTAACAATTGTTCACAGCCTCAATGAACTCCACGCATCCTTTAAGATGAGCAGGGTGCCGGCCCCCTCTGCTTGACCCCGGATGCAAGGCTAGCCATTTTCTTTTCTCTTTGCCCATCTCCTTCAGACCAGAGAGATGTCAGGGAAGAATATGTTCACTGTTTATTACTTGGAGCTGTTGTGCACAATGTTCCTGTGACAGCAGGGAAAATGGTGTCAGCTTGCTATAGTAAGACTGGACTCGACTCAAGCGGCTTCCCTGCCCCCTCCTGCAGGCCTGGGATCCTGGGTTGGAGCAACGCATAAACAGTATCTTTCATGGGCAATACCTCGGGCTTGCATACAGTAGAAGGAGGACTATTCTTTCACACCCTGCACTGACCTTTGTTAACAAAATTTTAAGCTTCTATATTTATTTTTTATTTTTGGCCCTTTTCATAACACTTTCTTTTTTAAAAAATAAATTTTATTGATTTTTTACAGAGAGGAAAGGAGAGGGATAGAGAGTTAGAAACATCGATCAGCTGCCTCCTGCACACCCCCTACTGGGGATGTGCCTGCAACCAAGGTACATGCCCTTGACTGGAATCGAACCTGGGACCCTTCAGTCCGCAGGCCGATGCTCTATCCACTGAGCCAAACCGGTTAGGGCTCATAACACTTTCTTATTTTTGCATTTCTTTTTGCTTCCACCAATTGTTCCTAAAACATTTGCCTTCTCAGGTATATCAGTAACAATGCTGCCCACTTTTGCAGGGCCCTGTGATTTTGAGGCCCCTCTCAGCTACTAATAAACTGCAAGTTCTATGGTAAGACCAGGCAGGAGTCCCAGGCTTAGCCACAATTTTGTAGCTATCAATTAACCCACACAGCTCAGACTCTAAGTCAAGTCTCTGATTTCTAGTTAGATGAGCACATCTCAATTGCATGTTCTGTTTCCCATGTCTCTCTCCTCCAAAATGACCTCTGTCATTTCTCCTTGCTTTTAGGATTTAGAAATACCAGCAGTGCCCGTATTCCATGGTGTGGTGCAAAAATTCCAAGACGTGTCATTTGGAATCAGCACTGATCCTGAGGTTCTGGCTCACTACAACATCACTGAGAACACCATTTCTCTCTTTCGTCTGGTAAGTTGGGTGGACAGCTCAAGCCTTCTCCTGGTTTTTACTTACTAGTACCTTAGGTTGTGAACTCACAAACTTGTGAGACTAGAAAGATGTCTATGTCTTTAACACTAATGATGATGCCAGCGTCAGGGACAATGGTGACAAGGATGATGGCTCAACTCAAGCTTCCCAAACAGATGCTGTCGTGAAATGGAAAGAGGTCTGGACTGAGAGTCAGGAGATGAGAGTTGTTGCTGACCAGTCATGTGACTCAGGCAGATCACTTAACATTTCTTAGCCCCAATTCTTTCATCTCTATAAGATAAAATGGTTCAACCATGTCACCTCTAAGATCATTTTGAGCTCTAAAATGTATACTTTTATATTTTGGGGAGTTAACTTACATTTGTAAGAATGTATTAAACAACTACTGCATGTCTTATGCAAGATAGTAACAATGAAAGCACATTAACTGTATTCTCTTCTCTCATACAAATTAAAATATAGTAGAGGTTGTAAACATAATACACAAGTATCTATAATACAAAGAGCATCATATAGGTAAAATATTATAAGGGTTCAAAGGATAAAAGCAGTGTAGGTATTCTGATCAAAAAATTATAAAAAAGAAAACTTAACTGGGATTTAACAGATAGGTAAAATTTGGACAAGGTGGAAGAGAATTCATGGCTAAAGTGGGAACAAAAATGTAACTTAGAAAACAATGATCAGGCCAATTTGACTGGATCTCAGGGTACATGTTTTGGGGAAATGAATATAAAACAGAGAAGCTTGATTGGAATCATATTGTGGAGAAATTTGAATACTAGCTTGATGTGTTTTCACTTAATTTGGTTGGCACAGAAAAGGCACTAAGGCCTTTAGATCAGGGGAGTAACATGAACAGAAATGTATTTTAGCAATGTTATTTTGGCATATGGGTAGGGTGGAGTGCCAGGCAAAAAGATAAGAGTGGAGAGAAATTTTGTTAGGCTGGCAAAACAGATCATGTACTAAGGGTCTGCAGTTGAGAAATCACATTAGAAAGTGAAGAAAAGGCAGGGCTTGCAAGGATGAGATGTCAAAATGATGGAAGGCAAAGGAGGCCAAGCTTAACGTTAAGGTACCTAGGAATAGTAAAGGCCTATTCAGAGATAGGGGTTTCTGATGCTGTGGTTAGTTGTTGAGTTTGTATTATTGGCAGAGTATCAAAGCAAAGATGACCAGAGCCCACTGGAAATGAGAAATTGGGCAAAAGATAGTTTCAAGATGTCCTTCCCTTTCTCACCTCCATCCTATCTATCTCTTTTGCTTCTCATCCAAACCTCTCCTTACATGCAGTTTATATTCACTATCTCCAGCTTTCTTTAAGCTCTTAAATACACTGCTGTCTAGTTTATACCTTGCACTCCATTAAAACTGCTTCCATCAGCACGTTTCCATATTTCCAAATCCAATGAACACTCTTTAGGTCTTATTGTCCTGAACATCTCTGCCATGTGTGACATGTTGACCACTTTTCTCTTGAATCTCTCTTTCCTTAACTTCTAGGAGCCTCCTTCTCCTGGTCCTCCTCTTATTTCCTTAGTCTCCATGAGGCTTTCTCTTCCTCCATCCATACTACTGCCTGACACAATGCTCTTCCCAACCTAGGCTATAGAACCCAAGCTTTGTGGGGCACTACTTCAACCACAGAGCCTGAAAGAGTGCCTGCCGTGTATCAGGTGCTCACTAAGTGTTCATTAAGTAAATAAATATGTGTGTGAATGAATGTGCAATCCTTAGGTAATATAATTCTTTCTCATGTTAGACTATTAAGTGTTTGCTGAGGATTTGGAATGTTTTATCTCCAGCCTGGACCTCTGTTGTAATTCAAATGCTTGCTGGTAGAAGTCCCTCATAAGCACTACAGTCTCAACGTGTTCAAAACTGACTTTATCATATGCATCTGCTGAATCATGTTCTTCCCTCTAAAACTTTTTCATTGAATGGCTATGTTCATTTGATCTCTAATTTTTTCAAATTGGGCCTCCTCTCTTACTGAACCTATATTCTTTTTCTCTATTTCCACTTCTTTCTTCTTTTTAGATTTTCAGCACCTTTGGCACAGACAATTCCATAGCTTCTTAATTGATCTCCCTTTTAGTACTTCATAAGTAATTTCTAGATTGGTATCACCATGATGAATTTAAAATGGAAACTTGACCATGGCACTCCTTTCTTTAAAACTTTTTATTATTTCCCATTTCTTACAAGGTAAAAATCAAGATATTTAAACATCTCGTCTTTTATGATATGGCCACTAGCTGCTTCTCTATTCCCTTTTCTAGCACATGCCTACCTTGGGGTATACCCTCTCAACACCAAACTATTCTATATAATAAAGAGGTAATATGTAAATTGACCCTCACTCCATCACCCCATCACAAGATGGCTGTGCCCACAGAGGAGGCGGGGCTCCCATAAAGAGCGGTCAGCAGGGACCTGAGGCTGCGTGTTGCTGAGCCGGGGCAGGGGACCTGAGGCTGCGCCCCCCCGCCTGGTGGGGCCTGACGGGGGACCTCAGGCCCTGCCCCCCCACCCTGGCACTGAACCAGGGGACCTGAGGCTGTGCCCCCCAACTGGCACCAGGCCAGGGGACCCAAGGCTGCGCTCCCTGCCCAATGGCACTTGACAGGGAACCTGAGGCTGTGCCTCCCATCTGGCAGGGCTTAACAGGGGACCTGAGGCTGAGCCCCCCCCCACTTGGCAGGGCTTGATGGGGGGCCTGAGTCTGTGCCCCCACCCTGCAGGGCTTGACAGGGACCCTGAGGCTGTGCCCCCCCCCCTTGGCCATTCCCCCCCCCTCGGCGGGGCTTGACAAGGGACTGAGGCTGCGCCTCTGGTTAGCACAGCTGGGGGACTGAAGCTGC